TCCACTCACAGCACACAATAGTCCAGAAGGAACCCAACAGTTGTTTACTCGAAGATTCCATCGGTCCTTTACAGCGCTGCCAGTCAGGAAGCCTATCTACATCAGCTTCATCATCAACTAATTCGTCACCAACTACAACAATCTCAACACTTGGATCAGCAATCACTGAGGACCACACACCAGAGTCCTCCCCGGATTCGCTGGTCTCTGCGATGCCATTGTCTGCCCTCAGGTCAAAGAGCGAAGATCTGGGAGTAGTACCTCAAAGTCCATTGCCAGGTTATACTCGCTCTCTATCACCCAGCAAGAAGCCGCGGAATACCAAGAATTTATCATTAAAACCACTCAGTGTTGCTACCTCACCAGTACAGGCTGTTGGTGATTCAAACAACATAGTGAACCAGAGCCCGCGATCAATGTCGGCCCCAACTTCTCCGGCGTTCATCAAGCCTCCCCCACCACCACAGAATCCTCGTAGGCGACCGAGCAATCTTGGACTAACAATAAAGCTGCCCGGTGCTTTGCCCGAGAAGACGGCAGTTCAAGGTCCACCTGCAGGGGGTATCACAGCCTTGCGACACCACCAGTCGTCGCCGTCCTTGTTTTCCCCTGCGCACGGTGGTGTTCCCGGGGGCATGAAATTGCCACCAACTCCCGGCTTCCAGAGGCCATCAAGGCTGTTCTCACCCCCACGTCCAAGTTTGTCAACTTTTACAGCACAGGATTCGCTTTCGTCCTCACTATCATCTTCATCAATATCGAACTCGCCTCCAAAGAGCCCGGATGTTTTGCACGAGATGGAGGAGGAGGACGAGGAGCCTCGGTCGGGCGAAGCGAAGTCACCTGCCTACCCCAGCGGACCGGTGTGCATATTCGAGCCCAACATTTATCTATATGCGGAACCGGACGCTGAGCTGGCGTCAAAATTCGATCTAGTTGTGAACGTTGCTAGGGAAGTTCTTAACCCATTTTCGGAGGGCGTCAGGGGCCCGGTAAGCGCCCAGTTTGGTGGGTTCGAGTCAGGAACTATGCCGCCTGACACAGCCTGCACCGAAGCGAGTTTCACAACCGCATTCGAGGAAGCACTGTTTTCACCTTTGAAAACCGGAAGGCTGAGACCTAACGAACCAGAATACGTGCACATGCCATGGGACCACAACACGCCCATCCTGGACGATCTGCCGCATTTGGTCAACCTGATCGACGACAGGGCGAGCTCTGGAAAGAAGGTATTGGTGCATTGCCAGTGCGGTGTCAGCAGATCTGCGACACTGCTTATCGCCTATTCAATGTTCAAGAACCCTGGGAAAAGTATGCAGGAGGCTTATGCAGCGGTCAAGGGAAAGAGCAGATGGATCGGACCTAACATGGGCTTGATCTATCAGTTGACTGACTGGAAGAAAAAGATCGACAACGATGGAACACGCCCGGGAAATGGAGGATGGAGGATGGGGAGCCAGTCCAACGGAGGAGTTAGGGGGCTGGTGTTGAAGAGCGGGAACAGGAATGGGTTTGGAAGGGCTGGGACAATGGACGAAGAGCGAGAGAGCGAATCGATGCCAGAGCCGCAGACCGCCCCATTACCAGAAATGCGAAAAACGCCGTCACCGCCGCCTCCCAGCAAAACCAGAGACCACCCGATCCCAGCGATGGTTCGAACTCGGTCGGAAAATGGGGGGTTTATTTCGGGTGTTTCGCCGGGTCCTTCGTCGGCGCCGCCAGGGATGATCTCGATCCCGGGGACGGAGTCAGGACCCTCGAATATGCGACAGTCGTGGCCTGATTCAGACTCAATAGACTGTGTCCGGGGCCGATCAGAATCACCTCGCGCGGATTCACCACCACCATCATGGGCGGAAGCAGCAAGGGAATTGGAAAAAGAGGAGGTAGGTGTGAGCGCAACTGGTTTTGTGCCACAGCCAATACCGCCATCGGCAGCCTACCTTGTGCAGCGCGCTGAGAAGGAGATTTTTGGACGAACGACGGCCGTAGGTAACGAGGACGATGACCCACCGCCTACGCCAGGCGGGACCTTCATGAGCCCGAGAAACAGCACATATTTCGGCGCGCCGATACGACGGTCCGGTGGATTCTTCTTTGCGGACCCAAGGAGCCCTACACAGAGGGGTGGAGAGCCGCCAATAGTTCGGAGCATATTTGATGTCCTGTAGCAATTACTGTGGGGCCGATGGTACAACCGTTCGACCAGCTGACTGTCGATTGCTGCCAGAGGACCGGGATAAGCAGGAGGTGGGGGGCTGAGGGCATTGCTTTTCTCTTCCTTTCTTTTTTTTATTGCTCGGGGAATTCTTTTTTAAAAAAAAGGGTCCTGGCCGGGAGTAAAGATTTTGGGGAAGAGGGGGAGAAAACAGGGTTCTTGTGTGTGGGGTGTATCATTCCTATTGGGAGGGGGCAACAACGTCCGGAAAGCGGGTAAAACCATTTTTTTTGTTTATTTTTTTTATCTATTTTCTTTATTTATTCCACTTGTTTTATTCTGGATTTTTCTATATGGGGAAAAACGGAGCGCATATAATTGGTCCCATCGTTTTTGTTATTTCTTTTATTCCCTTTGTTGGTTGAGTGGGTTGGTGGTTGGTTGGTTTAGGACGGATGGGATGGATGGATGGAAAAGACTTTTTCACGATGGCAGCGGGGTAAATTGGGGGCGGGAAGAGGGGGCTCTGCCGGAGTGCGAGAGCACACATTCAATCGTTTTATGATACCTTTTTTCCTTTTATTATTATTATACCTTTTAGGCATTCGTTTTGATATTTTTTTCTTTTACTCTCTTTTGTCATCTGGATTTGCAATTGGTTTTTCCTTGTTTTTTTCTGGGGGTTCTTTCTTTTTCTTTTAATCATCATCATCAACTCTGTCGTTTATATTATACCAGGTCGGTCGGTTTGGTCGGTTTGGTCGGTAGCTGGCGTCGGAGGCGCCTTCTTTTTTTTCTTTTCTTTTAAAGGGTAGATTCTAACTACATATTACTATCTACCACTACCACATTACTGCGTAACTACTCATCATCATCGTCATCATCATCTATATCATCTATACCCATCATCGATATATATATATCTACAAACTTCTGTTCTTTCGTTTACTTTTTTCTTGATTTTTTTGTATATGGCCAAACACATAGGGGATAACTACAACTAAGCTCTTCTGTGATGAGCTTAGCATTCTTTTTTTTTTTTGTGTGTGAGACCGTGTCTGCGTGTACTGTGATTTTATATGGGTTTTTTCATTCGTGGTTTTTTTGGGATTGTGTGTTTTGTTTTGGTTTGTTTTGGATTGGGTTTGTGGCTGGTGAAATATTATATAGGGAAAAATCTACTATGGTACATTCGCTGTAAAACCGTTTCTTCTCATACTATGTCGTATCATATCGAATTGATTGAACTGAGTCTTTTTTGTCTGTGTCTACTTTTTTGTCTAGTAATGATGCGCAAGTTATCATTGCCTTCATGATTAACTGCCAGTGATGCTGCTGCTGTGTGCTATCATTGACGATGCTCCATTGCGTGCGTACGTGCGTGTACATACATACATACTTACAGTATCGCAAGGAAAAACGTGGGATTAAGGTTATGACTGATTAGCAGCAGCAGCAAGTGGGGCCGGCCGGGGGCCAGGCCTGAGTGTATCTAGAGTACTCTATCTAGCTAGCCAGAATGCTGGCTAGGTAGCCAGATGCACCAGCTACATGTAGGTACATGTAGCTATATAGGCCAGCATTTCCGCAGGTACACACTGGCCGGTAAACGTGGCCATCGATTTCCAAAACATGTATCACGAGAAGCATGAATGAGCACTTGCGATATCTGATACTGGTTTCAATTCTTGTCCTGACTGCAGGAAGGTATGATGAGATGCGGTGGTGAGGGAAGGGAGGAGGGAGGGTATCATAGGTAGCCTTATGGGAAATCGGGGGGGAGGCGTAGGGAAATGATGGTTTGGACATGATGTTGCCTTGGATTTGGATTTTAATAATAAAATAAAAATAAAAAAGAGATCTTTTATTTTTTGATTTGCAGATATCGCTCACTGAGTTAGGCAGTTGGGATCAGTCCAGTTCGGATCCAGAACACCCCACCCCCCCCCCCCCCTCCCTCCCTCCCTCCCTTCCGGCCCCGGCAGAAGTAGAGTATCTGTGTTTCCTTGAAGTGGATTTTGATTTGTTCCGTGCACTGTCTGGTTCGGTTTGTAAACCGTTGAGATTAGTGATTGATGATCCCACCCGCACTGTACTGCAGAGTCACCTTATACCCTCCTCCCCCATCCTCCTACTCTGCTCTGGTGCGTGTATGCAGTGCAATGTAGAGCAGAGTAGAAGAAGGCTGCCCCAGGGTCAAAAGTACCAAAAAAGCCCATAGGGCCGGAAGCTCTCCCACTACAGCATAACCAACGTGGTCGACGAGCGAAGCTTTCTTTCTCGGCGCCTTCCACGAGCTAGCTATTTTACCAGCCTTTCGCAATCGAAATCTCATAACTGCACGTGTGCGGGTCCCATACCCATCTGCACCCCTACTGCCCTATGACGGCCAGGCAAGACAGGGCCGGACAGGGCACAGGTAGAAGGTTGGACTACTGGACTACTGGACTACTGGACTACTGGATAGGATGGGACTAGATAGGGTGGGACTAGACAGCACATGAGGCTAAAAAACCAACCACACGAAACACCATGTAGGGTCCGTCACGTCACGATGCGTTGTCCATTTTTTTATTTTTGTGGGTTTGGCGGTTTTGCACCTTCCCTACTGCTGAAACAGGAGGGAAGATCCTGGTGGAGGGGCGGGCACGGGCCAATTGGGGGTGGTGGAGTGGTGGATTGGATGATGGCCTTTGGGAGGGAGGGATGGATATTGGGTGGATTGATATGATGGGATAGACGGGTAAGGAATAGGGAAGGTAAGGCAGGCGGAAGTGAAGGAGGCTGAGTGAGCTGAAGGAGGGGGAGGAGGAGAGAGATGTGCTGTTGCGGAGTGTGTTTATTAACTGCGGGCGATTGGAATAGAGGAATGCAAATGGGGATTGGGGATTGCGATGTGATGTTTTGAAGGGGGGGTGAGCCTTAACCCTTGGGTTGATATTGAGCTGTTGAGCTGGTTTTGGACGCTAGCTACTGGTGGTTTGGGTAGAATTAGTAGAGCATGTAGGAGGTTAGTAGAAATACAGTACCGCAGTAGAGTAGCTGTGCCTTGCTTTGCTGCGCGTGAAGGGGGGGTGATCGGTGGTGCAGCATGTAGGTAGGTGGAATGAAACGCGATTCAGAATGTCTCGGGGAAGCGCTTTCTCGGAGGATGTTGAAGGGTATCCTTTCTTCCGGCTCGGAGTCGACTCGGTCTTGGTTGCTGAGCATTACTGTGATGAGGGAATGTACAGGGAATTGGGGTTTTGTTTCTTGACTCTTGAGGGAATCTGGATTGTTTTGGGGTCGGGCCGAGGTGGCTTTCTCACTACCTGTTGTAGATGTAGATTACTTCTATATGGGGTGAAGTATTGTCTGGGTCCATGTAAAGTAGTATCTACTATCTAGAGTAGGGTATGCCGAGTGAAGTACCGATTGTGGTTCTACTAGTTGATACAATATGGTGATATTGTGTCTACATACTAGTATTCCGAGTGTACCTTTTAATTTCGCCTCACTCGTATGTACCACTCTACTGTACTAGTATTTCGCTGACGTTTTTGAACTGGGCCATTATTGCATACACCCAAAATCATGAGCTTGGAGTATTTTTGTATGGCATGCAATATCAGTCGCGTCCACAAACGTCAGAGAAATACGAGTACCTGCCCATGCCGGTACAATCACGTATCTACTCTACATGTGTTCCCCTAACCCCCAATATCAACCTCCTGTCACGCACAGACACTGCCCGTGGATTAGGGGTTCTCTGCTGCTCTACCTCCTTAAAGAAAAGAAAGAACCGCCTCCCTCCTCCTCCTTCAACGGTTTTTCACCCCCCTAGTCTCTCGCTTGCTGCGCGGGGTAGGGAGGAGGGAGGGGGGAAGGGGCCCACATCTCTTGCGTGCGCTGCTACACAACGAGATTACTGATGGATCGGGTTAGCTGTGCGAGGGGGGTGCAATTCCTGGCCTTGACAACCTTGACAACCACCCGGTTTGGGCGCTGCGGTGTCCCCTATCTGGGTGGGTTGCTGGGGCGGATGGGGGATGGCGCGCGCGAGGGGTGGCTTCGCTTGGCTAGAGGAGAGTAGGTGGGATGTGACGGCTTTGCTGGGAAGGGAAGGGAAGGGTGGTGGTGATAGAAGCACTGATTTGGATGGGGGGATGGCGGGTTCCGTGATCTTGAGAGGTTGGTTGGTTGGTATGGTTGGCTGTCTCTGGCTGCTGGATGACTGTCTCTGGATGGTTAGTTGGGTTAGTAGAGACTGTATGTATGTAGAGGGCCGTACCTACATGTAGGGCTTAACTCTTCCTTTCACTCACGCTCTCACTCGGGTTTCTTGGGTTGGATCAATGACATCGAGCGGATGGAGATGCATCGGAGTGATGGGGAAAGTCTTAGGTTAGAGTATCATATTTGCTTCTTTCTGGTATGTAACTGTAGTTAGACAGACAGACACATGGAGGCTGTCTCTGGCTGTTTTCAGGAATGTTCCTTTCGTGACTGACTTGCTTGTAGAGTACCTTTCTTTTCGATTGCGGTTTCTGGTTTTTCTTTTCTATGAATAAACCCGCTGTCCCAGGACTGCAGATTGGGCGTGGGGACATTTTAGACATTTCATACTCAACTGGCTGGCTGGCTAGAGATATCTAAAACAATCCATGATGATGGTTTTTTTTTCCACACCCGTGGGAGGGATGCGGATGAACTTACTCATGTAATGGGTATGCAAGTCTAACTTTCCTGCTTCTTCCTGCTGCTGCAACACACCCTCTGATGTATCCCCTTCATGAGAGTAAGTTCTAGAGTATGTAGAGAGAAATACAATATCATCCCCTCCCATCCATCCACTCCCCTCCCACCGGAAGAAGTAGATGGTGCTAGCCATATTTCTTTTTCCCTCTTTTCTCACCATCGTTTTTTTGTTTCTTTTCGCATCGCATCACCGATTGCACCTCCGTTTGTTTCCTCCGATTGTCTGATGCAGTGAGTGACTGTGTGTGACTTGTATTCCCCGGCCGCTCGAATCCGTTTGTTTGCAACACCCCACCACCGCCCCATCGCCCATCGCCCACCACCACCACCACCACCACCACCCCTCCCCTCCCCTCCCCCGCGCGGCCAGGCTTCGGGTTGTTTCTCAGAGGGGCTTGCCTACCTTGCTATTTGATCTCCGAGGATCAATCACTCACTCACTCACACTCGCCCACTCAAAAAGGGTGTCTCATATCACATCACATCACATCACATCACGGTGATTTAAAATTTTGGTTTTTATTTTTTCTGAGAGAGAGAGAGAGAGAGAGAGTGGGACAGGGCAGGGATTGTCCGATTGTTACTGCTATTATTATCTTTTAATTCTTTTTTGTTTTTTGTTTTCCCTACCACCCCGAGGATAGGACAGGATAGGACGAGCCGACCCGGGAATACACGAATGCTGGAGATACTACTCTATTATACCCGCATACATACTCCGAGGAAAGGGAAGTGAAGGGGGTACTACAGGCAGCAGAGATCAGCTAGTAAGGATTATTGGCTTGATCAAGGGAAGATCCTAATTTGACCCTACATACCTTTGCGAGCAGAAAAGAAAAAAAAATACCGAGTGAGAAAAAGTGGAAGGGGCGTTGGGAAGAAAGGCAAGGGAAGGGGAGGAAGGGATATGTTATATTGGAAACAGCAGGCATCATTCATTCTAGCGACCGGTATTGAGTTCTTCCCCGGGACGGGAGAGGTCTGGTGTAGGAAGGAACAAGAGAAGTGCGAGATCTAGAGTGGGTGGGTGATATTGGGTGAAGAGATAGGCAGTGAGGAATTTGTGAAGTGCAAGGAATCGAGGAAGGGGAAGGGAGAAAAAAAAAATTGGTTCTTGGGAAACTGATGAGGAGGAGGTTGTTGTGGGCAAAGACAGAGAGACAGGCATACTAGCACAGTAACTAGCAGCAGGTTAAGCAGTCATGGCCCTCACGTCCCAGCGCAGTAGCAGCAGCAGCAGCAGCAGCAGCAGCAGGCCTGGACAGACTGATCCTGATCCTGACCCTTCCTCCTCTAAGGCTCATCTCCACACCAACGGTGGCAGCACAAGAAGAAGAATTAGTAGAAGAAGAAGCAGTACTAGCAGTGCCAATAGCAGTACCAGCAGCACAGGCACAGAAGTATTATTCCCGCCCCCCGGCCGAGAAACGTCGTCTTCCTCCACTTCCACTTCCACTTCCGATCACACGCCATCATCCGGCTCCTCCTCACCAAGATCAGCATCCTCCTCCTCCACAGAAACAGAGGTAAAATCAAAAGACGGGGTAGTACTTGAGAGAGGACGCAACACAAGAAGAGGGGGATCGGCATCGTCAAGTAATAATAATAATAAGAACCAGACAAGCATATTAATCTCATCTCCATCATCTCTTCCTGCAGCACGTCCTGCTCCTGCACCTGCTGCTGCATCTGCACACCCACGGCCTCAACCACAACTGCACCCACAACCTCCCACCTGCTCCACCTGCTCCTCCTCCTCCTCCTGCTGCTGCTCGACGTCGTCCACAAGCAGTACCAATCGCCCGAGAGAGCCTGTCAGGACGAAGACTCAGGGAAGTAGCAGCACTGTTACTACTAGCACTTCTACTGCTACTACTAGTATTACTACTACGCCCACTACTGTTACTACTGCTAGTACCACTGCTACTATTGGCCGTAGTAAGACTCGGATCACCGCTAGCACTGTTTTGTCCCCCACCAACAGCAACGACACAACCGCCAGCCAAAACACCAACACTCGCTGCACAAACAACCCAAACAACCACACAGAGACAGCTTCTTCCTCTTCCTCTTCCAGTGCTGCTGCTGCATCCCCCACACAGATCACACCCATCACCACAACCACAACCACAACCACACCCAGCATATCCACACCCACAACCACACCCACCACACACACATCCACAGCCTCAAATACTTTGCCTCCGTCCTCAACCACACCCCCCACAGGGACTGCAAACAACGATACAAACAATAATACACGCTCGTCTATCACAGCCAGACACCCACCAGCAGCAACACCAGCAGCACCACCACCACATCCACCACCACCAGCATCACTCCTCACACACTCGCGTGCGTCTAGTCGCTCCAGTAATCTCACAACAACCTCATCCACAAACCGCCATCCCAGCCGCGACCATTCCTCCCACACACGCTCAAAGTCTGCTTTGCTCCCGTCGTCAACAACGTCTACTGCCCCCCTCTTCTTACAATCCTCAAAACACAGGTACCAGCAGCAGCACGCTTCAACCACCACCACTTCCACCACTCCCAGCTCACGACAACCCGTTGCCCAGTCAACAGAACCACAACCACAACCACAATCAGTCCGTGCGCAGCGTCACATCTCAGACACTGCCGCTACAGCAAAAAAGACCGCGTCCACCACCACCACTGCTGCTACTACCACTGCTCCTCCGGCCGCTGCAGCGCCAGAAGAAAAAGTATCAGCTACTACTACTACTGCTAGACGGCCCGCGCGGTTCAGTAGTAATGGTATAGCGACAAGCACCGGACCTCCACCGTCACTCGCTTACCGCCGCACAAACACCGCCGCCGCAATGATGGAGAATCGCTTCTCGTCGTCGCCGCGCACAATGAATCTGAATAATGGGGGCGCTAGGGATAGCATCAACAACAGCAACAGCATAAACAACATTACAAGTAGTACTACAAGCCATGGGGAGAGGAGCTCGTTCGCGAGGAGGGATAGGGATAGGGATAGGGATAGGGATAGGGATAGTAGGACGAGGGATGTCACGACGCCGATTGCGAGGGAGGCACTGGGTGGGCTGTCGAGAGAGGGGTCGAGAAGGAATTCAAGGATCGAGAGGGCATACGAGGATGAGAGGACGATCAGGGGTCTGGAGGACTTGCAGAGAGAGGCGGCCGGGATTGAGGATGCAGGCCAGGATCCTGGCGAGATGGGCGGGGAGGACGTGTTCTTGAACCTGGCCAGGAGCAACTCGGTATCGAGTTATACGGATAATCCAGCCTATAGGGCTGAACGCAGGAGGGTGGGTCTTTATTCCAATTTTTTCTTGTCTTATCTTTCTTCTTATAATTTCTATTCTATTCTGTTTTGTTCCTTTTTTTACTCATTCTCTTTTCTTTTTCTGCGCTGGGGCCAACAATTGATTATAGTCGTATGTGCAGTCACGCCTCACGCAACTGACGCAGCAACGAAATTCGCTTCCCGCGGACACCTTTTCGGGATCGCCATTACGCGCGATACAGACGCACTCGCAGGCCAACCGCACGCTCACAAACTCACCTGCGCCGAGCACCCGCGATAACGGCAACTGGCACCAGGACCGTGTTTCGACACCGCCCACATCCTATCGCGACCGCAGGCTGTCGAATGCATCGCTACTGGACAACAACAGTAACATCGATGAGCAAGGCAAGGCCGTGACCCCGCGCGCATCCTTCTCCCGTCCTCTCAGCATGCTGCGACGGGAGCGCTCGCCGGGAACGTCCTCTCACACACGAAGCTACTCGATGGCCGAGCCCGTTGCGAGGACTCGGTCGGGGCTTTCCAATCATGTGGCGCCACGCGCGACGCACTCGAGCCCGCAGGACGTGTCGCCGCGCGATGTGGGTGTCGGACTGGGCCAGCGCGAGAGGCCGCCGCCGGTGTCCACGAGGATGATGATGGGCGTGGAGCAGCACCCCGATGCCGCCGATCCTATCACACCCACGAGGCCCGATCAGCAGAGCGTCAGTGGCGACAAGAGCGTGTCGGGTGGCAACGACGACTCCTCGTCGGTATCGACAACCGCGCCAAGTACCGTGTGGGACGAGCTCGACGATCTCAAGTCCCGCATTCGCCGCCTCGAGCTCACGGGCCGAATACCGGCGTCGGCGTCGGGCGTGGCGAGTCTGAGCAGCAGCTTCAACACCGTGGGCGGTGCGTCGAATTCCTCGGGTGAGCGCCCGAGAACGGCGACAACGACCGTCACAACTATCTCTTCGTCGCCGCGGAATAACAAGGAGAGTGGCATCTCGCCGATAAACTCCACGTTCGGCCACCGCGATCACTCGATAAACAACCACCCCCTCCTCCACGCCGCGCTGGCAAAGTCGAAATCGTTGATACCGCCAGAAGTATACAAGTACCTCGAGGTCGCGGCGAACGACGCAGCGGCACTGGCAAGTACGGTCAGTAACGCCGCTGCCGCTGCCTCCTCGTCGGGGTCTCCTGGCTCTTCTTCTGGGACACTGGCGTCCGATCGACAGGTCCGCCGCAAGGCCGACAGCGTCTGTAGGAGTTTGACGGAGTTGTGCATCGCGCTCTCGGAGAACAGATCGTCTCTGGGTGGCGCGGGGGCACCAAACTTCTCGCTCCACTTGTCGCAGCATTATGGCGGCGGCGGCGCAAGGCCCGAGAGTCGGGGTGTGGGGATGGGCGTGGGGAATGATAGTATTCTGGGGAGGTCGGATAGTGTGCTAGGGAGAGAACGCATCCTGGGGCGGGAGCGGGGAGACAGCATCCTCGGCCGCACCAGGGAGGAGAGCATCCTCGGCCGCGACAGCGTCCTGGGACGTGAGTCCGTGCTGGGCCGCGAAAGCGTGCTCGGGCGTGAGTCCGTCCTGGGCCGCGGCGAAAGCGCAATGGGCGAGCGCATATCGTCCCGCATCTCTAGCCGCTTCGCAGACCGCATCGCGGAGCGGAAGGGCAGCCTCGCGTCCATCTCCACGTCCACGGGCTTCCTCAAGTCGTCGCCGCGCCAGCAGCTCGCAGAGCACCGCGAGATGCCGGAGGAGGCGGCGGTCCCGAGTCCGACTACGCCGGGGAACCTCCGCTCGAGAAATTCGATGCTGTTGAAGGCCCGGCATATGTTTGACGACGAGGAGGACCCGGAGAGTAGTTTCCGATCGCCGAGTCGTGCGGCCACGGAGGTGTTGAGCCATAGGCAGCACCACCATAGAGAGACGACGTACCATATGACGCCTGACCGCGCGGACCGGGCGGGGTCGAATGCGCTCCCGCCGCGAAGGCAGTATGTGGTGTCGCATGGCACGTCGCTGGCGCAGGGGGGATTGGCGTCGCCTGTGGTGCATCAGAGTAGTGGGCAGAGGCGCTTCTTTAGTGGCAGCAGCGAGAGGGCCGAGATGAGGGAGCGCGATGAGAGGGCGGCGTATGAGATGCAGAATGCGGCCGAGCAGCAGCAGCAGGATGCCTATACGACGCAGGGGAGGTTTAGGAGTGGGAGTTTTGGGAGGACGCCGAGTAGTGCGAGGAGGCCGGCGAGAGTGTTGAGGGAGAGTGTGGATCTGGATAGTCGCCAGGAGGGGGGGAGTTTGGGGAGGACGCCCGGGGGGGAGAGATTGTTGGGGAGGAGGTAAGGCGTGGTTAGCTGTTTCCTTTTTTTTTCGTTCGTTGCACTTTTTGCGGTTAAAAACTGGGTCGGGGCGTACTGTGCTCTTTTTTTTTTTATTTTGCCGTTTTTTCTCTTTCTGGCTTGCAGGATAGGGAGGGGTCGGGGGGGGTTCTTTATGACTTACTTTATTTTTGCTTGCGCAATTGCCTTGCTTGCTTGCCTGGTTGGCAATTGCAATAACTTCTTTTTTATATTTTTATTTTGTATAAGGATACTTTTTATTCTCTGTTGGCTCTTTTTCTCTCTCATTTGTTGGAGTTAAACTCGATGAATGGATCTTTCTTTCTATATTTATGGCATTGGCTGGGGTCTTGTCTGGTCTGGCTTTTTTCTTTCTGGTTTGGCTTTGGGGAGTTTTTTCTTTTCTTTTATATCTTCTTTCGGGTTTATGGCAATTGAAACAAAAGGAGCGAGTTCTGGAATTTGAAAGAGGGGCGATGGCGCATGTCTTTTGGGCTTTTGCTTTAATTGCTTTCTGATCATGAGGGTCGTTTTCGTCTCGTCTCGTTTTTTTTTTTGATGCTGCTGTGCTTGATTTGATTTGATTTGATTTGATTGCTTTTGCCTTTCCCCCCCCCTTCTCTGCCTATCATTACTGCCGTTGCCGACGTCGATTCCTAGTGTTACTGCTACTCATATCATCCTTGATTCCCTTTTGTGAATTACCTCCCTCTTTTACCTCACCTACCTTACCTAACTCTCTTTCCTACCTCACCTCACTTACAGCCTTCGTCTCCTTTATCCTCTGTTTGGGTTTTGCGTGCTTTGCTTGCTTGCTTTACTTGCTTGGTCGTGTTATAAGGAAGGGGGGTGCTTGGGGGAAGGGGAGTTGACAGCGGATTTTGCATTTTGCATCGTTTTTTTTGCGGGCGTGGGTTACGTTTGGGTCTGTCTGTGTTTTCTACGGCTGGGCGCGGCGCGGGGTTTGATGGAGTTTTTTTTTTTTGTAAAGCGGCGAAAAGAAAGATCAGATGAAAGCGATGCCCTGCTATGATGGATATGGGGACTGATGATGATGAGGTGCCGTGGGTTGTGGGTGGGGAGAGTGGTGAGGGGGTAGAGGGAGTTGGGTTGATAGACTACACTACACTACACTGCTACACTACTACACTACACTATACTGCGCTGCGATACTTGTTGCTGCGCCTCCGTCGATTCGATGGCGGTATAACTAGGGCGGTATTACATATTCTTTTTTTTTTATCGTATATTTTTTTTTATATATTCTTTGGTTATCTCTCTCTTGGGGCTAACCGGACATAACACTTATTGCCATCTGACATATCACATCCTTACCTCTGCCTGGCTGACTGGCTAGCAGGCTGTTTATTCTTTCGCTGTATCTATCTATCCTATCATATCTTATTTCATCTTATCTTATCCTGTGCTCTTCTGTATCTTATCTATCTTTTGTCTTGTCTCATGGTATTCCCCCGTGTATTGTGTATGTATCGTTTCCTTGTTGTAAGGCTTGAGGGGTCACCGGTTGCGTATTTTTTTTGTTTCCTTTGTGGGAATGGGAATCTGGGATATTTGATTATTCTTGAGCGTGGTGTTTTTTTCTCTCTCCTATGTTTTTGAGGTGTAAGGCGGGAGGGCGATTGTATGTATGCCTGTATGTATGCCTGTATGTATGTATTGTAACCATGTATTTAGTTAGTGGAAGGGTGGGGGGCGGATATATATTTATGGGATTTTTGAACTGTTATGTTTTGTGCTTGTGAAGACTGTGATGTTTCTTGGTGAAAGATAGATCTGTGGTGGATTGTAGACTCGCCCGTAAATCTACTGGCCATAGACCTTCGAAACTAAATAGGTATCCCAGCACCCAAGTCAATAGTGAAGGGAGTGCGGCTAACCTAGCAGTAATTGATGGCCCGGTGAGGGCCGAAAAGTATGTTGCGTTGGTAGGCAGCACTCGAATATCGTAGGGGGGTAAACCGGCAGTTTTGTAAATATGTAATTTCCACAGACCGAAAGAGGTCCAAAGAGACATTTTCTTATTAAAAGACTTGTTTAAAGGGCTGACGCTGTACTCGAAGGTGTGGCGTGCCGGCTGATAACCTGGGTGAGGTTAGAAACCATGTAATATCACTCGGGTGCTTCAATTTCGGCCCTAACTATTATATATTCGGTCCCTACTCGCCGCTCCTTTTGAGTTACTGCCAGCAAATAATTGCTACATTTCTCTCATGAATTGGCAGTGGTCGTATCCCCAGGTACCGGTCAAAAGGGTATTTTGGCGTATCAGCGGGGCGGTGTGCGCATCTAAATTGATTTCTCGGACTAGGTGCTTTGTGGTTTCGGGGTCGGATGTGTAATTATGGAGACTGGTGTATGGAAGTTATCATGTCGTGGAAATTTCTAGGAAGATTAATCCCTGAGGTGCCTGGTATCGTACTAGGTGGTCCAGTATATGTGGTTTATGGTTGATGTTGTCCTTAATTTTTTGTTATGTAGTTTGGACGTGGCTTCAAGCTATCTGCGCCGTCATCTTCGGGGCAAGTTGTTCTTCAACTGTCATTTTTCGCAAGAGGGGTCTTCTCCCCTTCTGCCCCTCTCAATCTGTCAATTCTTACACACAACAAATGAAACATTTTCATCGGCTCTCTTCTGCTCTTTAAAAATTTCACTAGACCTTATATCCGCGGCTACATCGATCTATATAGCTATGGCGCCATTCTCTTCTACTTTAAAAGAATCGTCGCCAATTTTGGGGGGGCAGAATTCACGCGAGCGTAGCGTTTTTTTTTTTAATTCATTAATTGCATGCAACTCTACAGTTATGGCAATATTGAGAGCGTACCGTTGTATAAATGAAACTCTTTACTACATGCTGATAGTCATATCGAGGTTGGTGACTGGAGAGCAAGATTAAAATGGGTCATGAAACATCACTCGCGTCTGAGTTGTGTACTAACCATGAATAGTTTGAGCTACGAGACTGCGCTAGGTCAGCGTTGAAGGAATGCCGTTTCCTTGCGTTTGTCTCTATTTAATGAGGCCTGCGACACTTCTCACGAAAACCTTTAATTTGCTACTACTGCTACTGCAAATTCTGAAAAGACACAGCTCTATCTCGCTGTCAAGTACATACACGCTACATAAAGGGTTCAACATGCATAGCGGCTTCCACAATAAGACAATAATGTGTTCTCTCAAAGTTACATATATCGTCATTTGAGGAGGAACAAACTGGCTTCATGGTGGTGTCACTTGCCAGAATATCTCATCGTCTACTATAGTTCCATGTCCTTCATGAGCCAGCACCGAATCTTGCCATTATGCATTCTTCGCGGAGTTTTTCTGATCTATATCATGAGTTGTTAAGCTTTATTAAGCTCCTACGAACTCTGCTCTGCTTTGGGGTCTTTTCATCCATGTTAAATCATCAAGGACGTACTGCACGACCAAGCATTTAGCGGGTTTTGGTAGAGACAAGGTAAGTCCCCCCACATAATCCTATCAATTATACATGTCCACGACTAACTAGGAGAGAGCTCGAAACCAGCAATTAAATCCAGATTACAGTTAGACGCATCAACACCATCCTATCCTTACAACTCTCAAAAAAAGAGCGAAGACTCTAGTAACTCTAGACAAGTCCGTATATGTGTATGCTGCCCTCTCAGCCATAAACGCCAGAGATGCAGCATGCAAGCCTTTTGAACCACAAAATATGGCCAGTATTATAATTACTCCGCCTCTCTACCCTCTTATCCAACTGAATCAATACATTATGGGACCTTTTAGTTGCGCCATAGGGCCCCCTACTACGCAGTATTGGTGTGTCGTGCTCATAAGTTAGCTAACCCTGCTGTGTGCACACGAAAATGCGGGCTGTAGCGCATATCAGATGTACCGGATCCTCCTTCTTCATCCCCAACCGCCAGGTTTGATGGCAGAATCCAAGATCTGAGACCAAGATGTCATCGATGGGTATTCTGCAAATGAAAGTGCAAAAGTCTGGTTACTTGCTGACGTTGACATCTGACAGCGCCGGCAGCTTAGATGCAAGACATTCTGCACTGTTTAGCGCTTGGGGTCTGTCTGCGAACAGGCCTAAACGTAACTTTACTGATAGCTACATGTAGCTATAGCTGGGTAATAACTATATTGGTCCACACCACCAGCAATAATACCTCACACTCGAGATTTTAAATCAAACATTAAGTGTAGTTGAACGATCTCAATATAACCGCCGACGACCTATCACCGCAAGCAGAGCCGCACGTAGACTCGAGTGATAATACATGATCCACCACTCCCACGTATTATGACTGGCTTACAGTATCTTCAGCCACCCCAATAGGATAAGTCCTTTACATAGAAGCACGGCCAAAAATAACCGCTCTGTATTAAGATCGCAACTGGTACAGGTGCGGTATATCGGGTGAACGGGAGGGGTATGGCAGCCATTGACCATTGGTAGGGTATTTAGACACACTACGCTACAAGTGCAGAGATCAGGAGCTGGGCAGGCGGCTGGGAGGCCAGTCAGGTGGAGACAGCAAGTGTCTGGGGAATTCAGTGGAATGCCCACGGAAACTTTCCATGCATGCAAGATCTCTCGATCGTCCGGGTTTTGTTTTTATGGTAGCTGGTTTTTGGAGGCTGGGTGTGAATCTACCTGTCAGTGAAGAAAGGTAAGTACAGCGCCTCTCTCATGCTTGAAGCCGAGATCCGACTGGAGATGTCAGATGTGAAGATATCGTGGTAATCGTGATGATTCAAATCGGATATCGTAATAGTCATGTCCAAGATATGAATAACCACCTGTCAGAAATTGTAACTGTTTTATCAATCCTTCCAAACAAATGCAAACACATGCGATATCTCTTTTGAGTTTGATAACCCACTAAGTCACAAAATCACCAGAAATCGAAATGTCTCTGTAGAAGTGTGTGTATTATCATTTACCGCCTAATATTAACCTACTTCCAGGCTGGAAAAAAGGACACAACCACCGCACAATCTTCCTACCAGTAGGATCATCCTCATCAACTCATCCCCCTCCGCATCAAGAATAAGAATATTACAAAAGGGTCATAAGAAATAATGATAAAAAAAATAAACAGAAGAAACGTTCCTGTCCGAGCCCCATCCATCCATCATCGCCATACTTTCATGTAGTCAATCTTTGCACCACCGCCGCCACCACCGCTTGGCATAAAAACAGCCTTTCATCCAGCCACTGTAATGTATGCAATAATACAGCATCGTATCTCATGCTGTGGTCAATAAAACATAAGAAAAGTAAATGTGGGCCGAAAGTACCCGGGTCGTAAAAACCAGAAGATGATAAAAACAAAAGAAACAAAAACCCCCAAACCACGCTATCCAAAAAAATCAACAAAAAAACAAAAAACATGCAATGCTAAAAAGCCGATACCCAAATGCAGCCTTTATACGAAAATGCCAACAGTCAAAAAAGACAAGATAAACAAGAGAGCTATTCTCAAAGTCTCACTTCTGGAGTAGAGGTTTAAACATCGACTCGGCCGTAGACCATAGTCTGTGTCTTCTTGTACCCGCCGACGTTCATGTCTTTGCTCGGGCCCGCAAAGCGGCTCCTCTCGTCTTCCCGCTTGGTGACTTCCCGCTCGTCCTGGATGAGCGTACACGGGCCGCAGCAGTAAGCTTTTCCGCAGTCGTTGGCGATGCTGCCCTCGAGCTGGTATTTCTCTCGGATGCGGGTGCGCTGGAGCATGGTGAAGACCCCTGGAGATATATGTTAGCTTTAGGTTCGAATATTGCAAGTCATACAACTAAATAAGCGAGAAGGTGAACCTACAAGCTACGGGAGCGAGCGCGCAGAAGGCCATGCAGTGCGGGTTAAAGGCTTTGAACTCGTTGATGTTGCTGTCCGGTGAGGTCTTGACTCTGTGCTTTGTGCGCGAGTAGAGAATGCACGGGCACCAGTAACCGGTGCAGCCTATCAAGAAAAACAACGATATGTTAGCGGACCCATTCTTTTTGATATCAATGATATTAACCGGTTGGTGGGGAGCTTACAAGTCCCGATATCGCCAAAACAGTCGCACATCCCGTGCTGATACTCCTCCCTTCCATGCTGCTGGTTCGGGTGCCCGATCTGCCCCGGCGCATGTACACCGCCGTTAGGTCCGCTTGCTCCCGATGGCGTATATACGGGTGTCTTTGGCGTAATTGGGCGGTCTGCGGCCGCGGCGCGGCTGTTGTATGCGGGCTCTGGGGGAACGGGCGGGAGGTTGTGGGTCGGTGGAGGTGATGTTGCGGGGCCCGGGTATGTCTCGCTGGTTGGGGGAGGCGGGAATGATGGGAGGTTTGAGAGCGGGACGTAGGGTGATTGTGAGGATGATGAAGGGCCGCTGTAGTCTGGTGCGGGCGAGCCTTGGGGACTGGGGTAGCCGGGTGCGGGTGTGCCGGAGGGGGAGACGTAGTTTGGTGCGGGTGTGCCGGAGGGAGACGGATATTCGGTGCTGCTGTAGTTCTTCATGGGAATGTCGTTTTCTTGTGTTCCGATGGGTGCTTGGGTTGCTTCCTGCGGGTGCATTGAGCTGTAGAATGGGTTATTGTTGTTGTGGTCCACGGGTGTGTGGAGAGAGTATTGTGATGCCTGAGGGTTTGAAAAAGGAGCGTCAGGAGAGTGAAGAGTTGAGTATGGTCGGGAAGACATTGTGAGTTTTGTATGTGTATTTGTATTGGGGTTGTGGTGATATATATCTAGATGTATTGTAAATAGGCAGTATATTCACTACTTTGTCTTCTCAATTCGAGACTGAGAATGCAAATATATGTATTATCCACAGGTGAAATTCGAGATATCAGAGCGAATGTCGAAGGAATGGACTTGTATAATATGTATCCGTAGGTAGCACCAACTAAGAGACCTGACGAGTGTGAGTATGGGCGATAGTGGTACTGATAGCGGGGGTGAATGATAATATATAATGTGGGAATAAAGTTGGTGCAAGGCCAACAGTTATATTAACAGGGGAGACACGGAAAGAAGGGTGTTCTACTAACAATTTTCAACCCCTTGAAAAAAGTGTGATAGGATATGATTTGTAGATTTTCACTCCCTGATGCAGGAACGGAGGAGGGCCTTCGGTACGTAGGGCTGGTAGCAGAAGTAGCGTCGGCGCGTAGAGGTGGAAATACTTGCTGTCACAGCGGGTTCGTAGTGGTATCCGGTGTGAAAGGGTGGCTGCTGCAGCGGCTATCAATCAGGTTCTGGAAGCAGACGTAGTGGTCTCCTCCAACAGTGAGTGAATGACTGTATCGATATCCAACAAAATGTTGAAGCACAAGAAAAACAGAGGGGGGAGAGGAAAGATCTCAGGGGAATGACATTAAACAACATCTCATAGTGATGGAGAATGGTTTTATTAATACCCACCCCCCTCTGCACAATATCGACTGTCCCAACTAGAACTTAAGGCCTAAAGTGTCCATGTACCCTACTAATTCGGGATACCCAAGCATGAAAACTATATTTTTTTCAATAGCTCTCAACCTCTAAGAAGTCGTCGAAGGTCTTCAGGTGAGACGGGGTTTTTGGCGATATCAGTTAGGTTAAATTCAAGCATACATGGGCTGCATGCAATGGTCCCCAGCAAGCCCTTCCATTTCTTCACTTTTCCTGCAACCCACTCGATCTCTATTGAGATGTCCTACTTTTCAGGAACATATTGCGCTAGTGAGAACGCACACAGACATTGGTCTGTGAATGAGATTGGCGACGCGCTCTCCCCCAACCATAATGCGGCGTCAATCCGCCACCCATGCCATCCGAGACGTCCGTTACATCTTGGCATTGTGGTCGGCGCTTAACAGTAAACACAAACGGGAATCCCCTCCCACAAGTGCTACATGGTAGCTACATGTAGCTGGGTGTGCTCTCTTAAAATCTCAAAGCGAGTGCCCAAAAGAAAGCGTCATCGATTCTCAGCTGCGGGAGAAAGATACGCAAAATAAGAAGGCGAGAGAGAAAAGAACAAGGGGTAAGGACGGGTTCGCCGTGGCACTGCCCACTTTCAGAATTTCAATGTTCTCTATTTAGCGTTAAACATATTAGGCTCATGTGCATTTATCATTCAGGTCGTACATATAGAGACTGCCAAGAAAGGAAATCAATAAGAGTTCGTGTGGATATATTGTACTGACGCGCAAGTCCCAAGACAAAATGTTGAGATCAGGAACATACTCTGTCGTAAGATTCACACCTAAAAGGCAGGAAAGATGACCTGTTTCGAGTCATACATAAGAAGTAACACGGCGGCGCAATTTCCATCGAGCCCATCTCTTCGCCATCGCACAATTCGAAACCTGAGGGGATGCGTCTTGAGTCCCTGAGTGCCAGTCCGTGGCACGGCTTTACCGAGAAGCAAGCAGCTTTTGACTGCAGATCTCTTGATTTCGCTACGGTAGTAGTCAAGATACCACGTGCAGTATGTCAAGTAAGCAGTAGCCGCAGCCAGATCTGGACCACAAACAAAGTCGTCCAATGTTTTGCCTTCTCCCGTCCCTCTCACTTGGGATCTTGAAACAATACTTAGAAACCCACCGACGCCGCAAGGAGATTCAAACATGCTGGGCCCTGAAGTTAAGCAGATAGCGGGGTATGTATGCACTCTGTGCCCTGGTGCCTACTTGTTTCTTCCTCGACCATAACCATGGATAACGGGTATGCACAATTGTTTTAATTTCTACCACAAGTTCCATCATCGGTTGAGGCAATACCATGGCACAGGATATGTCCACGGTAACAGTCCACCCCTGGTGGTGATGATACATTCTCCAACATACTTGCCGCTTGAAACTACGCACGCGATCCTCACGTGCATATTTCATAGGCGTATCGATCCCGAATGCGGCCCCCGCGCGCGCTTCCCTCCGAGCTGGCTACTGAGAGAAAGCCAGATCGGAAGAGATTGCCGCATTTGCAAAAGCTGCGGTAAGTAAGGTGAATCAATTCACTTTATGACCGCATGTTAGTATGTGCACGACTAGTTTTTAGTCAAGATAGGGCCTACAGTAGGTGTTGGGCAGGCAGAGTGGAGTAATAAGACAGAGAGAGATATCCCCCACATACGGTTAATTAGAGGAATTGTATGTGAAAATTTTCATAGGAAATAGGTAGAGGAGATTATCTGCCTATGTAGTTTTAAAACTACTGTATAGAACCATACCTAGGAGCATTTTGTTTCTACTAGGATCATCTGCATCGTTCTTATTTTGACTCTATAAAGTAGAAACATTTTCAAGTCACCCGTACCAACCGAGCTGCATCTCCAGTCTGATTCTCGGAACCGGTTCCCCAATAAAAGGTCTTCCGAAGAAAGGCGCCCACCAACCGGGTTCCGCCAGAAGAGGAAGCGCCCCAGAAGAGCCTACGGCAAGGTACTCTATTGATGATGTAGATGTGTAGGCATCTGTGTACTCGGGGCAGGTAAAAAGTACCGGACAATGCAGGTTTTTGGTTCACCAATGGGCGCGCATGCTAGGCGTGAACTACTGCAAAAAAAGCCCAGAGACAAAACTTGCATTGTCCGGTACTTTTTGCCTGCCCCGAGTATCGACAACAGAGAAAAGCAGGTGCAGTGCTCCTTAAGTCGACTATCAATATCCAATGAAGTATTGAGCGCAGAGTCATGTGTAAAAAAATAGCTGCATAGGTACCACATACCCTAGAGTAGGTAGGTAGAGTAGGGCAGATTCCCCGCACAACGTAGGTGTAAGAAAATCCATCAAGAATTTCTTTGATAGCTGACTGGATGGCTACTGGATAAAGTAATCGTGATAAGGGTACTATTCGCCTTATTATTTCACAAAGAAGTAAGGCCTAGAACAACATGTCAGAATCAGACGTCGAAGAGATTCTCATGATCAATAATCAAGCCACGAGTCATGGCGTCCCCGAAAAACAAGAATTGAATAGGGAATGTTACTATTTTCATCGCCAATAGAGTATGTACCAATGGACCCTCCGGGCATCAAGCATTCACCCCCACTGAACTAAATAACTTCCCGTGTCCGTGTTCGTGTCCGTGCGTTAGCTGGGGTTGACTGAGACATGACATTGGGACTAGAGTATTGGGTGCTAGTTGGAAAAAGTATTATTGTACTACCTGAGAATTATGGCGAATAGTAGACTTAGGCGAATCTATGCCAGCATGTCCACTTTTCTAGGGCATGTGTATGCACTTTAATCCAGCTCTCTGCATCGGTAGACTTCCAAGTCCAGGGCGTGATGTCTAGAGAGTTTAAGCACCATTATGCTGCATAAAGACGTGTTCGATGCAAGAGTTGGAAGGCTAGTGTGAATAGTATGTTTTGGAAAGTAAATTTATCCAATATAATAGTCTGTGGAGGCGTTAGCTAAAATTAAAAGCCGGTCAGTTGGAGTGAAAATGGTAATTGAATTGAAAGATTATCACCAAGAAACCACCGTACCATCATTGGATCTGTTGCCTCAACTCATGGAAAAGTTCTCTTACATGGTGGCATTTCTCAAAACCGAGGTAGATACTCACTCGTTAATTAAAGGTCGGAAGTCGTTGTAGCACAAAATCCCGACGTTTTAATTAACGCGCGAGTACATAGAGTGATATATCATGATTCATGATCAATGAATGAAAGATTGGATTTCTTTTGGGGCTATTCAATCTTCAGTGTGAGATCTAAGCTACTCTCACTGATAATGGGGATCTGATATTGCCCTAGGTAGATGATGTAATAATCTAGAACAATCAAACCAAATCAAAAGCTGCATACAATGTATCCGCTGCGGTGTGTAGATATATTTTCGGTTTCGGAAAAATCTCTTTTCGTGATCGTAGTTGATAAGGGAAGCATTTTATGATCTTAAGAGAGAGTTGGAACACTTCGTCAAGGGTACGGTGGAGTGAAGATAAAAAGTTTGTTCTAGCTCCGATCTCTTGGGATGGGAGCGAGTGATAGATAGTGACGTAATCCACTTGCGTGACAAGAGATACATAGGTGTAGGTACAGATATGTGTATGTATACCACGTGGTAAGCGAGATATATGAAAGAGATTCTGTCATAGAGAATCTGCAGGCCTTGACGATAAAATGGCTACAACCAAGCATGATCTTTTCAACCTTCTACAAGAAATACTTACTGTCCCATGCCTCTCGGTCTCTTCAGGACCCCTTGCAGCCGCTCCATCCAGTTTCGTCGGTTCAAACGATAAAATAAACGAAGATCAAGCTCCTGGCCTTATTCTCTCCGATGCCCGCACCGCTTCCATACCACTACTTGTTGAATTCATTCTTCAAATTCTTCTAACTCGGCCACCATTCACGCACAAATCACCGGAGCTCCTGCTAGAACAACGTTCTATGTTCCTTAAAATTTGGAATAGGGGTCATGCGGAGGGGTCAATCAGTGGTGAAAACGATGACGAACAGAGTCTTTCACCCCAGAAGAGCTTGCACATTCTCGCGCAAACTCGAATGAGCTTTCAAAGACTTACAGAAGATGGCTTTCAATTCGTGTCAGAGCTCCTATTCTCCTGCCTCCTTAGGATGTCTTTGGCAAATACAGCCGGACGCAGCTGGGTGACTGAGCATGGGAAGGCCGTTAAGATTCTGTCAGAATTGCTTCATAGTGTACCTGATGCTGGCTGGTTAAGTATGGACACAAACTTTGAGTATACGGTAACATTGTGGAAGTGCTTGAGTCACTTGACAGCAGGCGCTTCCTGGTGGGGGTCGAGGAGCGAAGTATACGAGAAAAACATACTCAGTCTTTCCAACAATTTCTGTAAGTTTTTCCTACTATAGGGCTAGAGCTGTATTCTTTGATGGAGTGGAAAGCTTAACGATATTAGTTGCTCTCCCAACAGCATTTTCGCTTCTTCGAGCGGCAGTGCGTGTGGATTTAAGGCCAGCCGATATTTTCTCAGTAATTGATATCCTTTTAATGCCCTTAGAACGGCTCCATGGATTCGCAACTTCTGAGAATATAAACGCATTTACACCCACACCATTCAATTTTCCCGTTTTTCCTTCTTTGATAAATCATGATTTTACGAGACCATATGAATTTGCAAACTTAAGGATATTATTTATATCCTGGATAAGTTCAGATGCATCGCATCGTGACTTGGTGCAATTCAGCAGTCCATGGAGTATTAGCATGGTTTTACAGCACCCGGAGGCATTCAATCGGTTGGAGTTACATCCGGAGAGTGCTGCAAGAATCGCATTGGCATATATCTTCAACGAGGTACAGTTAAGAGGGGAAGGTAAATATGATACCAAGGGTTACAGATTACTGTATGGAGCAGTTGACTAATGAATACAGGCTTTAAACCAAGTACAGATATGAAGGCCGTCCGGCTTTTGAAGATCTTTATACTCTATAGGCATGGTGTTCTACTCAATGCCGCCTCAACTCCTTTGAATCGGGTAGAGCTTAGTCCTGAGGCGCTCATAATGATGAACGCTGAATGGGTTCTTCCATGGCTGTGGCAAAGAAGAACTACTGATATAGATTTCGTGATGGCGATGACAAACACGTGGATGAGAACGGAATGTAATAAAGAAAAAGAAAAGAAACTAGATATGAAGCATCCTGTGATTATGCTTCTAAAGAAAAACCCCATCGGTCTTGAGGTTCTCAGTGTAGGCTATACTTTGCCTCTGGCGAAGTGAAATATGGATAGCTAACGTGAGTAGTATTTATTCAGGCTTTTCTTTGTGTACGACGATAGTTTCAGTTCGGCGGCTATCAGCAGGCTTGGCCAACATCTGGAATTGACCCTAGAGGTAGTCAGATTAATTTTTACTTCACAACCGGAATTAGTAAGCGTGGAATTGTGCTCACAGGTCATCCGATGTTTTACATGCTCAGTGGCAATGGAGCGAGGTTGGATACCGTTTTCTTGTGAGTACCAGGAATTCATGCGTAGTTCTATATATCTTTTTCTGAACTCCGTTAGGTTGGGAATCTGTTTGCATGTTACTCGCAAAAATCCCTAAGCTTGCTCTAGAACATGCATTTACAACTGCCAATGTGATGGAGAAGATAGATATGTGTAAGTTTCTCGAGATTTGAGGGTCAGGCACGCGTCTAGAACTAATGAGAATATATATACAGTTATACAAGTGTTCCTTCGGGGTATTGAATCTATAACGAGTCTCTGCCAGAGTAATTTGGAGCTTGATTTTCCTGTCAGAACACTCGCAGATCAGTTTGCGACTTTAACGGCCATGTTACAATTTGTGGTTCTCCCAGGAAGAGTTAACAACGAGATTTGTCGTTCTTTAGCAGTAAAGACACACTTCATTTTGTCGATGCTGAACTACGTTAACCAAGATTATGTATCCGTATTGTTGCGATCCTCTCACCCTGAGCTGGTTTGGAGGCATGCAGCATCTGTCGGTGCTGCATGTGAAATTCTCATCATAAGTGGATTTGGCATGCATGCGGATGTGTTGCTGGCTGAAAGTGTCGGAGATAGTATCAATATCCCCACTGGAGCTATGACCGAGCAGGCGAAGAACCAAAATATTTTGAAACTTATTTCAAGACTTGTAGGACATACTTATAAGATGGGATACATAATATGTAAGTTCCCCTTGTTAGAACTTTGATTATGTAGGTACACGCAAGGGAATAAATCCTGTAAATTACTAACTAATCAAAGCACCGCTTTGTGAGCTGGCGGCGATGCTCAGTACGGGTTGGTGGACAAAAAAACCGTTCGTATATTTCGAGCTTTTCGGGTATATCCGAAAGCTTTTCTTGCAAAATGTTTGTAAGCATCCTTGTTGAAACGGGCTTATGCACTGAGAACGATTGATTTAGGGAGCCCGTAAATGGTGTTATCTATGTTATCTAGCACCCGTATTAGTTCATGCAATGGAAGCACTTCTGGAGGATAATACCTCGATATGTAGGTTTACCGCAGTCAAGTTAATTCCAGTTCATCAGATAACATATTAACGATGGCTTGTATATACATATATGTAGGTCAAATATTGGTCGAAAATCGGTGGAATCTAGAGCTCGCAGTAGCCATGATCACTCGCATCAAGGATGGTGATGTGTATTGTGAGCAATGCGATGTGAATTTCGAGGCGCCAATCCTAAAGCTGGTGATGTTATTGGTTGAGAGACGCCCGAGATGGCATAGAGACCTACTCCTAAAGAGAGCATTGGGACAGTACTCTATACTTACCATTGATATCATTTTTGCGATTTTCAAAAGGCAGATGAAACAAACGGATCCATCAACGCAGATCGGGGAGGATCAAATGGCATTGGGGGCAATGGTGGTGAGGATTGCCAACGTATTCCCGGAGTGGGAAACGAAGTCAGAATTGATGGCTATGGAAAGAGGAATGGAACAAGCCATTATCTCATTTGACGAGAAGAAAAGGTGTTCTTCTAAAGAGGGTATTTGCGAGTTCTTTCGACCGGTAGAGGGGGGGTCTCTTTGCTTCGTCCCGAAGTGTGAAGTCGGTGAGTGGTTGACGTCCGAAACGGTAGATCAAGTACGATTACGCATGGTTCAGCGCGGTGGAGCAGGCGAGGTCGATTGTATGGGAACTGAGGGGGATTTTGTGGAAACTGACGGGTACGGGTACTAGGCTGTGGTCTGACATACTCAAACTAATTGTGTTATCATTATCATTACTTGTAAACTGGAGATGAACTAGCTGCAGTACAAAAAAAGGGGATGTAATAGGTACTGGATTAATACGAAATTGTGCTATTATACCATAGCAGTATTCTGTTAGGTGCGGCACTGCTGCATCAAACCGCTTTGGTGCTTGTAGTGCTTTACTACATAGAGCATGTAACTACATGTATTGAGGTACAGCTTGCGGTAGGAGTCCTATTGGCTTGCCCAGCCATAGAAAACGTGTTTTTAGACCCCTGTTTCTGTAATAATTCTATCTCTCGCTGTATCAGAAATTCTGGCGCGGCGGAATATCTGTGTGGGGGTTTACAGGTTAACTAACCCATTAGCTTACCACTCACTGTGTAACCACCAAAACACATAAAATAGGAAAGATCTCGTGAAGCAAAGTCTAGAAATTGAAAATTATAGCCTTACAATTAATCAACTAACAAGAAGAGAACAAAAGAGTAACGACACCGACGAGATTCGAACTCGCGCGCCCGAAGGCATCCGCTTACACTTTCCGAGGAATAGCAGGCGAACGTGTTAACCACTCCACCACAGTGTCCGATGTTGTGTTGTGGCAACAAGTAATATATATTACACAGTAGGTGAGTCACAAACAACCCAACTAGGTCGAGAAAGAAGGTGCTTAGTAACAGAGGTTGAACTGAATTCGCGCTACCAGATATTGGCAATTATGAAGGAGTAATAATACGCTCTGGGTTTCCAAACATGTGCAGACAGTTATTTGGGCTTGGCAATAATTTAAAATCTGATCCCCCAAGCCTTCGTGAATTGCGAGCTCTTCATACACTAGTCTCTTTCAAAAGGAAAGATCATCGCCCGTATTATTATTGTCCTTGCTTGATGCTGTCGTCGTAGCATCAATCTCAACTTTGTCCTCAGGCTTGGAACCAGTGCCCGCCGGGCCAAGCTGCTCCACAACATGCACATTCACATCCACAACGACTGGCTTATTCCTCGCGCTGTGCGTTGTACCCTTCTTCCATGGCCTCGCAACCATCGCCGCATTCACCAGACAGGTCTCATTTCTGCCCTTTAGTGTGCCGTCGTTGTCCAATGCGTTGCGACTCTTCTCGGTCAGGTCTACTACAAACTGCTTTGCGCTGTCGGGGGCGGGGTCCTCAACGGCGGTTGCGGACTCTTCCTTGTATTTCACGAACTTGGACTCGAGGTCCCAGCGGACGCGCTCGACGCCGCGCGATTGGTGGATGTGCCCGAAGACGTGGAGGAGCGGGCGGATGGTCCAGATGGCTTGGCGGAGGTGCTCGCAGCCGCTGCTGGTGCTGAGGGGCCCGTCGAGGTGGTATTTGGGCGGGCCGTGGGTAATTAGTATCTGACACCGGATTGAGTGATTGGTATGTTATGTGTTCTGAGTAGAGAGAGGGGAGGGGGGTGGTGTCTTCGAAGGTCTTACATCGGTGTCGAGCGGGATTCCTTTCCACATGCTCGACTGGAGACTTGGTGCTTCGCTATATCCAAATCCCCATAGGCCGCACTTGGGAGCCCAGGGTGAGCCGAATACATTGAACGTTCGTCCATCCTTTAAAGTGATAGTTTTGAATTCGTGGTTAAGATAAACGATGCCTTTCGCGACAGCTTCTGGCGAGGTGAACAGAGCCAAATTATCGGCATAAGACTGCGGCGCCTGGTTGTGAAAATCGTCGCCAAACTCCTTGAGAAACTCCGGATCCAGTGTTACTCCATCGTGGTTTCCTGATCATAAATCCTGTTGTCAGAACAGGCTCCCAATTAAGCTGTTGTTTGTTGCACCCGTCGCCAAAACAAAACATACCGGCGATGACCAGCTTCACCTCGTGCGGGCAATCGCCAATCCACTCCGCGGACCTTTTGAGCTCTGAATAGGACCCCTGGTTCGTCATGTCACCGGCATGAATCAGCACGTCCCCTGGCGGAACCTTGAAGATGCCATACTTGGGCGAGGAGTTGTGCGTGTCGGATACGCACACAACGCGGAGCTTCTTTCGCGGTGCAGGACCGGATATGAGGAACGCTTCTGCACCAGACATGCCGCGAGGCTTGGGGATGTATATTTCTAGGTGTTTAGCGGCTGGCTTGGAGGTGAGCTGCTTGAACAGATTGCACATCATGGTTCGTCACTGGTGGGGTGAGGATGTGGGGTGAGGATGTGGGGTGTCTTGGCTGGCGGAGCCTCAAGATGCGGGTGATTGGTGATCGTGATGGCATTAGATTCGTTATTAGAGATGGAGTATGTATCCTCTAAAATATTGGTTCACTTCTTTAATTACAACATTTCCTTTATTAGTTATCTACTGATGTCTCGCTGGAGATTAAATTGGAGGCCACATCTGGAACTGCTACTGAAGCTCCAACCTCGAATTGCACCTTGACATTGAAGGAGCGGACAACTTCAACCACTTAAATCTTAAGCTCTAGAATCTCGCATTTTTATTCTACGTGATCTTCCTAAAATACATATAATCCCTCGTCCACCCCCTATTTCTGCACAATCCACTTCTGCGCCTCCCTCGCCAACTCCTCCGCCTTCTTCGGGTCCTTCAACGTCTCCAAAAGGGAGCTAGGCTCGGGCACATCCGCTCCCCTCTTGAGCGCCGGCCTCTCCGCGAGCTTCGCATGCCAGTTCTTGAGGTTGGGGAACTTTGACAGCTCAACACCGGACCACGGCGCAATGTTGATCCAGCCCCACGTGGAGATATCGGCGATGGTTAGGCGGTCGCCGACGAGGAAGCCGTGCGGGTTGGAGGCAAGACGGGTGTCGAGCACGCTGTAGAGGCGCTCGGCTTCGGCGATGTAGCGGTTGATGCCGTAGGGGATCTTTTCGGGGGCGTAGCGGAAGAAGTGGTTGGCTTGGCCTTGCATGGGGCCCACGCCGGCGTTCTGGAAGAAGCTGTGGATGGTTAGTTTTTTTTTTTGCTTGTTATAATTGTGGATTGTGTGGGGACTTACAGCCACTCCTGGACCTCCCAGTACTCGCGGGTGCCCTTGGGGTAGGAGATCTTGTGGTCCTTGTCGTATGTCTCGACGAGGTACTGCAGGATGGACCCGGACTCGAAGACGTGAATGGGCTTTCCGTCGGGGCCGGCCTTGTCGGTGATGGCGGGGATGCGGCCGTTGGGGTTGATCTCGAGGAACCAGGGCTCCTTCTGCTCGTTCTTGGACATGGTGATCTTTTTAACTGTGTACGGGAGGCCTAGCTCCTCGAGCGCTATCGAGATCTTGATGCCATTGGGCGTCTGTGCTGTGTACAGTGTAATCGAGGGCTCGGAGGAGGAAGACATGGTGCGGAATATCGAGGTGCTAGTACTGGTGGGGGAGTTGTTGGAAATGTGTTTGGTGATGTTAAGGAGTCTGGTGATGCTGCGGTTCATAGTTCGAGACGGACCGCGAGGGGATGAGAGTTATATATGCATTTGTTTTGTGGGGGGGGGGGGGGGGGATTCGAAGTTTGGGGTGTGTAATCCCCCGTTGTTTGGCCCATGACGACATTGCTTGGGTGATTGACAATGTGGTTTAGGGCGACAAATTGACCCCGCCGTATAATATGGGGCGGGCCGAGGGATTCGATAACTTTCTGTAGAGCAGTTCCATGTAGCTTGGGTGGTTGCTGTTTGAGTGAGGGCCCGCAGATACGTGCAGGGGGTCGTCGTCTTGGTGGATTTGAAATCAAAGGAATTACCAATTGTTCACCCCCTTCCCCTTCGGATAGATTGCGGAGAGATGTTGAGCCTTTCCGGCAGAAAATAACTAAATATGGGAGAGGGTTAGAAGGAGAAATAGTAATAGAGGACTGCTTAAGGAATTCGAGGAATGGAAATAATTGTTCAGTCTTTGGTGTAGAGTCTCGTGCTGGTGTCGTGAAGTGATGACTCATCATGAACATGAGTGAGAGTGTGACCTGGGTTAGGGTTGGGATTGTGACCTGGCTCCGGAGTGATGGGTCTGTCCTAGCTTTCTTTTTGAGGTGCAGAGAGCAAGTCCGAGAGATGTTTAGTTATATCATGTAATGTTGGAAGGAACGGTCCCCGTGTCTGCATATAGGGAGTAAAAAATGGTGACCTGTGAGGAGAATCGGCGACGGGGTCGACGTGTAGACACGGTACTCCGGGACTGCCATGTCGGTGTTTGGTGAGGTAGAAAGCTTACTGAGAAGCCGATGTGGCTCTACCATATGCAGGGGGAGAGTGCCAGACCGGCCGACTCGATCTCTCTCGGCCGATTGTTGACGCTTAGGGTAGAGATGGATCTGGCGAATGAGGCGTAGTGTCGGTGTGTAGAGTCAAACACTACATGTAGTATAGTACATGTAGTAGAGTTATAACGGAATTGCGTGTTCTGGCTTGATATCTGTTGCTTCGGAGCTCCGGGAGGTTTTGGCTGAGTCGGGGGTTGGTTTGTGGTCATCAAACATCACTCGGTTTTCTAAAAAGCTGTCGAATAAAAGTGCTATAAATATGGTGGGGTTTCTTTCTTTCTTTCTTTCCTTTTTTTTGTATAATTCATTAATTGCATGCAAAAACATATTGAGTAAGCAGACCAGACAGGCCTACAGAGCATAAATGAACCAAAGTATGATCGGAGAAAAATTGTAGTGACCTGTAGTCACGGTAAATGTTTCTTGTCACGGGTGGTTTCGGGTTCGGCGACGGCCCGAACTGCTGACTGAGACTGAAGTTGTTGCTGATGTTTGCTACCTGTCTTTTGTCCCCGTAGCGAACAACTCGTGTGATCCCCACGCCATATGTGTTCTCTAATCTTATAAAAGAGCCAATTTCTTCTCGATCTTTCCTTTAATCATCGTTCAACCTACAATTCGTTTCCCACTTTGTATGGCTGGACAACATGAGCATTCGTCGGAAACCTCTAGTCAGCTCTGAAATTCAGGGAGATCAGGCCAGGCTTGTGTCGCTGAAAGTAAACGGTTCACAATGTGGGGGTTGGCGTTGGAATATAAGATGCGTGTGGGTTGGTAACCCTAACCCATACACCTCTATGAAAGCACAAGAAAAATCCGGCAGCAAAAACTGCAGCAAGTAGAGATTACAGAGTGCTCCACTAATTAAGCCGATTTAAACACATGCCCCACTGTGTCGGAACTCAATCACGAACCCACATACAGGGTTGGCATCCTTATCTAATCTCGATCTACGATCATGTATTCCTTAGATACATCTAGCTTGAAAAGCAACGAAAACAAACTCTAGCCAAACAACCATATTAATTCCCGCACCCACCAACCATGTCGCCAATAAGGACGCCCATCCACAGGAGCTGCTCCTGTACCCCACCTGGCGGCCATCTGAGCGTCTACACACCGCGGTACCGCGGCCTGGGCACGGCCGAATCACCATTCACACATATCCTCCACCCCATCCAGACCTGGTTCCGGTTCAAAATTATCCTCCCGGCCCATCGTGGAGGCAATAAGACGTTCACGGCGGAATGGATATTCATGACCATCAATCTGCTGGAAATGCTCGACCGTCTCGAGATCGACCGGTCGGTCGTCAGGGACCCGAGCGTCTTCATCTGCTTCCATAGGTTGGTCTCGGGCGACGAATACCCGCACAGATACATGCCCGAGTACAAGGGGCTTGTCAATCTGGGTGATGATGTGGCCTGGCGGAGGGTGCTCGGGGAGTGTAGGGAAAGGCTGGGCTACATTTCGCTGTTTTTTGCGGCCATCATGCATCATGAGGATGTGGCGTCCATGGAGGATCAGCGGCTGAGGGAAATGATTTTCCATCACGTGGTGAGAGGTAGAAAATTCCTTTTGATCCTTGAGAAGAATAAGGGGGCGCGCATGAGCTGTGGAGAGTGTTGACAGACACTTTTGTTGCGCGTTCTGAATATTGTGGGGGTTTGAAATAGAGGGCTAATGAGATTCATTGTACGAAGCAGAGAGGCAACTGACAGAAGAAGCGCAGTGGAAAGGAAGCAGTTGGGGGTCCATTCCAGCGTTAACGCATCTTGGGTAAGAAGCTACCGTCCCTGTTCGAGAGTTCGCTGTGTTCGTTTTTCAAGGAATAAAATCGAGTGATACATTGTGACTAACGCGCTGGATATTGGATAGGTGAAATGGCAACATCATGAAAGCTAGAAAACAGACGGCACTAAATCTTTTGAGGCATTAGTTAGAAAAAAGTAGAATCAAACTTTTAAACAGGGGAAAAATGTGCTGCGGTAGTGGCACCTGCATTGGGGTCTACGTCTGCCGACATGACTCAAAAACCACGAAGGCAAGTTATCAAGGGTCCTTAAGGAGCAGGGTTATATGAAGGCATATCGGGTATATTGGGTAGAGTTGTTGAGAAGATCACGGGAATGATGGAGCTAGAGATGTAGCCCAAGGGAACAGAGATGAAATATTGGCCCACGGAGATCTACCGATACCATGGGAACTTTTGTAACAAGAGCTTCCAACGTCTTATACTTGAAGTAATATATAACCTAGCACGCGTCTGATTAGAAGGGCAGGTAGAACTTTGGATCCTATATTATCAATCTTGTCACGGTTGTCGCCGGGGGAGGGTGAATGGCGCCATATGCTATACAATATCAAGATATGACCAAGAAGATGAGGGGAATACATTTATATTGGAACGGTAACATAGTAGTTAAATACAATTAAGAGGTGATCCTAACCCCCCCGCATTGTACTTTTTTGGCCGGTTTCGGAGGTGATTTGGGGGGGGGGCGGATTTGGTTTGAAGAGATATTTCGAACTCATAGAAAATTATATGTAAGAGGAGGAAAGACAAAATACAAAACGAAGTAAGAACCTACAAACACAAGCGAGTGAGAAGGCACTAGAGAAAGAAACAAAGGAACCAATTATTGATATAAAATTCTTTTTTTAAAAAAAGGGAAGAACGAGATATTTTTAAGTTGATAACCCAACCCCAACCCCAGGGGTTGGGCAAGACCAAAGCGAAAACTGACTCGAAAAAAAAAAAAAAAAAAGAAAAAACTAATTTCTAAAGAGGTATATACCCGAGGGTGAATACAGCGTGACATGAGGGAGAAAACTGAGAGTGGGGAAATAGTGCCTTAAGTTCTGGAGGGGAAAGCTATACCAAGACTTAATTTTCACCGAGCATTGGACTAAGCAGCAAATAGCCCTGGCTGGGCACAGGCTTGGGCCAGGTTTGAAATTGGTTCTTGGGCGCTGTGGATGTGTTCGATGATGATGAGGTTTGTATGCGCGTAGAGAGCGAGAATCCATGGATTTGTCAGGCCGCGGGGGTGGAGACGGTGGTGTTTTTCTCACTTTTTGGGTGGATGTAGTTTGTGTAAGGATCATACAGGACATTATTTTATGAATATGAATAACGAGCCCCCATGGAGCTAATAGTAGCAAAGGAAAGAAGGTCAACATGGGGGTTGGACGTGGCCAAGCGGTATAGAGCTCACACTCTGTATCGAACATGTGAGCGTTCAACTCCCCCTCCGGACGTAGAAAAAGACGTAGCAACCGAGGCCTAGGCGGTGTTGTGAACTTTTTTGCTCTTTTTGTACTTTCAGAAGTCCTTTAATTGTTCACAATTGTCATCGGCCATGGTCACATTAACCCATACGAACAATCCAGTATGTTCTCGCCTGCAAGCCGAATTAACCATTGTTCCTTAGTAGTTACTCAGCATTGTTCCTACCCAGCTTATAGCCAAATTGCAAACCAAATCAGCAACCCGCATTTGCGAAAATTCTACTCGTCCTGACATTTTATATTATAAGAGATAAGCAATCTTAATATGGGGGTATCAAAGTGCGCTACGTACCTCTCAGTACCATGAAATCTAGAGCAATAAAGACCATTCGGATTCCTACTAAATCATTTTGATGTCGGTCTGCGAAGCGCCGCATTGCTTGACTGCCGGCACCAACCTTTTACTCATACAAACTAGATTATCGTAGAGATAGCCGCATATGATTAATTTTTTAATTTTTTATTTCCCGTTTATCTCATTAATTGCGTGCAATAACCGCATACGAAATCCATACAATAGAGTCAGATAGTATGCGGATCAAGTCGGTTCTAAACTGGAACAAAACCACACACCTACCAATACTTTCGCGAGGCATGATCGTAATTTTAGGTTCTTGAAGCACGATAAATGAGCACGGGACGCTCTGACATATTCTGTCACTCGTGGCTGGTGACTGTGGCTGGTTTTCATGAAATATCACTCTTCGAGTGATATTTCATGCAAAATGAGTTTTACCTACCAACCCAGCAAAGAATATAATCAATTGAGAAAGGGTGTCGCAGTCACAAGGTTGGTTGGCCTTGCTTGCATCCATGTATCTAGTCCAAAAAAAAAAAAAAAGAAACTGCAGAAAGTTAGGCTGGAATGGCCCGGACCATCCCGTACGTTAACCCCCCCGACCTGGGGTTCAAACCCAGGCCGCTGATCCGGTGACGGTAATTAGAGATAACAGAGTACTTTACCAATTAAACCGCTTTAAACACACGTCCTCCTGTGTCGAAACTCGATTGTAAACACCACATACAGGCTTGGCACCCTTATCTAATCTTGATCTATGATAACGCATTCCTTAGATACGATCTCTGACCTTCCTCCTTCATCACTGCGGCAGAGTCTTCCTCCACGTTCCGCTCCTTGCAGTGGAATGATTTCATACGTTGAGGACAACGTTCGATTCAGACCTACAAAAAACGAAGACCGCTGCGGCGAGCGAACGACATTTACCGGAGAAGATCCCCTCTTGAGCTTTGAGAGAATTAGTTCTTCGAGATATCTCAATTAGGCCGGCTCGTCTTTATTAAAGTATCTCCGTCAACATCCTACGCTCTCCTTCTATTTCCGATTCTTGGTATTCTCAGAGCATAGCATTTGAATTATAGAATAAGCGCATATTCCATCTTCCTCTCCTCTTCCAAAGGAATCAAATCAGAATTGTCTCGCTCTTCAAAAAATTTCTTCCATCAAAAACAAGATCCCAAACCCTTCTCCGCCATTTTAGTTCGCGCTACCAAAGAACCCCCGTCCCTTTAGAAACTCTGCATTCATCTGACATACACAAAGATAGGTCTTCCTCCCACCCTGTCCAGCCAAGGTACACGAAGGGCGCAGCTCATGGAGCAAGGACAGAGAGTTTTAGAAGCTTGAGGCGGAAGAACAGCCATGTGATTTAACGCTTCAACAAGGCTTCGTTTTTGTCTATAAAAGAGAATATGGAGGGCGTTTATGAAGAGAAAAGAAGACCACCTGTTGCTACTTGCAGGCTTTTTATGTTGATTTACCCCTCCTTTTTGCTACTTTCCCTTCTTTTTGGGATACGATGCTACTCCCGAAAAAACAGATGTACACACCCGATATACGATACAAGACCAACTACATGGTAGGTTCAGAGCTATTGTGGGTTTCAATATGAGAATTGAAAATTATTCCGATGAATCTCCCTCTAACTTCCCCCCCTCCCTCCTCTCTCAATATGATATACCTATACAACCGAAACCGCGTCACTCTCTTCCAAGATAGGATAAGGACCTACGAGGTGCGGTTGTGAAACAAATAACGACCGACGAAAGTGTTTGAAAAGTCCTGCGGAGAGGTTAATGCATGCGCCAGACGATACTTTTCTCCAGCAAGATTACAGATGCATGTATAGGACTCGCAAGAATTCGACGGATCGAAGCTCGACCCCCCTTTGTCTACACGCTAATATTCAATATAATGACAGCTCATATAACTACAGAAAGCCTCGAGCAGCCTTTAAACAATTTACTCCTCGAGGCAAAGCGCTGTGTTTATAGACTGAATTTCATGCTATTTCCGGATTACAAAAAAAAAAAGATAAACAAAAACAAAATGTGGATTGCCATGGTGATAGGAGTAAAGGAGCTCATTGACAATGGAGTATCTAGTTAAGATAATCTTGGAAAAGAAATTCAAAAAAGAAATATCGAAGTGCGGGGAAGATACAGCGACTAATTCTTGTCTCTATATGTGTACCACAATCGGTAGCGCTGCTACATCTCGGGGTCTTTATAACGGGGTAGAGACGGACAAAGAATACCGGCCAAGAGCCAAACTTGCAATCCACTGCGCCGCCATTACACTCTTTCTAGAGTTAACGATTCGCCTTCCAGCGAGATTCGGAGGAAGAATTCTCCGTTTTGAGACTGCCTCCTCCGTCCGCCGACTTTACCACCATGAGCCACACACATCCCTTTACCGTAACTCTCACAATCATAGGGCTGTTGAAGCTTTGATCGTCATGGGTGATGAGGACTCCGTTCGAAGTACTTCGTCCTCATGGAGCACACTTTTCCTGTGGATGTGTCTTTTTACCTATTACAGGGCGAGGTGAAGCGAGGTGAGGTTGGTTCGTGATTCATCCCCCGCATTGTACTATGCCCAGGATAGCGGTAATATAGGCGAAGCTAGCTAAAAGCGGTAGGGTGCCGTATGGTGGAAGGACGTCGAAATGGTGGCTTGCTACCGTAGTCTCGGTCTTAGAACTTATTTGGAATATGCAATTACCAGAGTAATCAAAGAATCAAAATCAAGTTTAAAGAGATCAGCACTGCGGACCGATGTCTCACTCACCCTCCACCGACATCGCTACCAGCAATCACGACTTATAGGATAAAATCTATAAAAACCGCCCACCCACTCACTCTCTCGCTTTCTACACTTAGTTCATTCTAGCACATATAATATCGCTAGCATGCAACTTCTCACGCTCCTCTCTGTAACCCTCCTAACCGTCGCCCATCTCACTATCGCCGCCCCCGCCCCCATCAGCAACGATGGTGCCATGTTGAAGCGTCAATGAATCTATAACGGCTGCAAGTAT